GGGTAGTTGTTACGTTGTAGGGTACTACTTATACTGACCAATTCTTTATCTAATGTCTCTGGGTCGCCACATATGACTTTTGCTCGGTGTTGTAAGCAACGGACGATCCCTTTCTTTACGCTGTATGGATGGTGGGAGTTCAAATTGAGGTACTGTCCGGTGAATGTCGGTTTACGGTATACGGATGTCTTAAACCCATGCTCTGTTCGAGATATTAGAACACCCAGGAATGGGAGTGTGTTGTTACTCTTTTTCTCCATTGTGAACTGTATTGAAGGTCTTATTGAATTCACATGGTCCAGTAGAACCTGAACATCTTCCTGGGGTGGCCAGAGTATGAAGGTGTCATCTACGTACCTTAACCTTGGCTTTAGCGATATAGATTCCAATGCCATTTCCTCAAAGTATTCCATGTATATATTCACCATTGCTGGTGATAATGGCGAGCCCATTGCTAAGCCCTCATCATGTCGATATATGTGTGATCCCATTCCGAAGTATGTTGTTTGTGTACAGAAAGTCAACATCTCCATCAGATTATCTATTGGAATACTGGTCCATTCTTCTAGGGAAGAGTCAAAGGTCAATCTGTCTCTGAGTACTGAGAGTGCCTCCTCTTTGAACATTGAGTAATTTTTTTCTTTTTACAAAAATCTATTGCTGGTATTATTTTTTTTTTTTTTTAAATCTACTGCTAGTATTTCTTTTTACTGTGAAAATGTATTTTTATACTTTCAGTTTCAGTTTTGGGGTTCATTATTTGCTGATAGCTGGGACCCTAACAGGTGCTACCACACTGGGTTAGAGTGGACCTGGGAATAACACCAATTAAAAAGTGGTTTTCACACTCTTCAAATCTGCCTGATTTAGTTTATTGTCATACCCAGGTTGGGAGGTTATTTGAAGTCAAAGAACAATCAGATTCCTTTGAAACAGAACACAAGGTAAGAAGTGAACTTGCAATCCTAGTAACCCTAGTTGCTTTATGTTAAATGCTTACAGTACCTGGTTTCCTGAGCATTTTGCTGATTTATATCAAACTAAGAAAAACTTAGTAAATTATTATCTTACACAGCATAAGAGTTAATAAGCTTGTCTTGCCAACAAGTTAGTAAGTTCTATTCCTTATTGGCTGTCCCACTGATAAGGCCTTGTGTCTAAGTTAATCTTTATAATTATTATAGCACACTGGTTAACAAGCTTGTTTCACTGTACAAAGTGTTAGATTAGATTTTCATTAATGCGTCCTCGTGACACATCATATAAAGTATTGTAAATAACTATGGTAGAGCTATTTTAACCTTGATAGTTACCATGACCTGCCCTCAATATGAATGAAACCCATTCAATAACAGAGGAGATACAACTCCCTCACATGATGAAATATATTTGACTAAAAGAGCAAGGCAACTTTAAAAATGAGATGAAGCATATGGCTTGTATCTGAATAGCCAACAACTTCAGTGAGTGCACCAGGAGTACAATGTTTTATTAGTGAATTTATTTATCCAAGATTTAGAGGACCTACATGGATTTAGAATGAATGGATGTACCTTTAGCTATATACGCTAACAGGTAACATTCTATTGATAGAAAATTCAGATGGAATAATGAATGTTTAGACAAGGTAGTTGTTGAAAGCAAAAAAGAAAGAACTATTAATTATAAAAATACAGAATACAAATCTGTCAGCCCAAAAATGACAATCTGTGATGTGTTACATTTTGATAATGTCAAAATCAAACAGGTACATAGTCTAGTAAGAGACAATAGCAACTGCAATTCCAAGTTGTAGAGGTACTAAAGGATTGAAAAATAACATTAGGAATGAGAAGAGATGAAGATGTACCCTCCAATATGGATAACGCAAGACAATTTTATCATCAATAAAAAAAAAAGTAATCCTGAAGCAACCACGATGTGGTTCTGCCAACAAATATTGAGAATGCCATTAGGAGAATAGGAACTACAAAGAAAAATGTTTTGTGACAATCAGAATGAAATTTTGGGGAATATCTAATCAGGAAAGAAAAAAATTCAAAAAACTCAACATTTCACAGGTCATATTGAAGGCATGATAAAACATGAAAGTACTTGATATGTTTGGGAAAATGGATAAAAAACAAAATTTAAAAGAGAAATAATTTCTGAAAATAAATAAAATAGGAAATCTGTTTATTAACCATGATCACCATAGCATAAAAGGACACAGCATAAGAGAAAAGTTTTTTGTGAATGAATGTTATAAATGATATTATACAGAAATAATGGGTATGTCCCCAATCCCATAAATACAGTAGTGAATACTGTATAATGTTGGTCTGTGGTCTGCAGTTAGAGATCCATTTTTTATTCACTTGACTCACTTCTAGCCAAATGACTACTACTTCTATTATGGTAATCTTGTATGTAATTCTTGTCCTAAGTATTATCGTTCATTACCAACCTTCATTTGATTATTCTATTCAGTAAGCTTCCCTAAGTTATAACACGGACTCAGTTTTTAATGGCTTCGAAGCTATTTAAATTTCTTTTTTTTCTTTCAACATTTTACCCGAAGCAAGGCAATGAAGATGCAAGGGGTTACTGAGTGTTAAGGAACATGAGAAGAAAAACACTATTAAGAACAATAAAAGAAAAGGAATTAAGAAGACAGAAGATAACAATTGATAGTGCATTTAAATTTTTTAAAATCTTAGTTAACCTTTACATCTCTGCAGGCATACATGTTTGCCGGTGATACTCTTTCTTAATATTCTCTGGCCAGACATGTTTGCCAAGTGATAGAGCTTTGTTTCAAAGAGAAAATACATTTCTAAAAATAACCTATTACTATAGAAATTATATTGTTAAGCTTGTGATATGAACTGAGAATGACCAGATATCAGTCATTTTGTCCTATCAGCAAATTTTAATAAAGTGTTTGAAAAGCATTCATTTTTTTTTTTTATCACAATGGCAACCCCCAGGGTAAAGCATGGATCTGTTATGTCAATAGAGGAACTTTTCATAGTGAGAACAACAAAGAAGAATTTCTTGGATTTACCCACACAGATATTGGTGATGTGTGTGTGACAGTGAGACTGAAAGTGATTCCAACCAAGAAGGTGGAATTTTCCAACCATTACAAGAATACAATCAAAATTTGTGGCTAAAGAGAAGAATAAACAAAATACAAATGTGGATGAAGAAGCTAGTGAGGTAGATGTTTTTCATCTGTTTTATCTGATGTCGTTGTTCAACTAATGGTACTGGAAACTAACCGGTATGTAAACAATGCGAAAACAAAATTAGGCGACACAGCAAAGACCAATTTGTAAATCAGAGTTTGGAAAAATGTTTGCTTTGAAGAAATGAAAAAACTATTTTCAAATTGCTTTTTTATGATAAAAAATGAAAGTGAAAAAATTTCAACATTCATCTTACTGGACAAAGAGAATTTCAATATATTTTTATAACTTTCACAATGTGATGAGTTTTGTAATTTTTTATTAATTCTGTCACATTTTTTTTAGCTTTCATGTATTTTTGGCTCAAAATTTATTAAACATACAGTAAAAAAAAAAATGTCTAAATTTCTCTACATCCTTTCATGCAAATACCCTGAAAATTTTCTAACAATATCTGTAAAACGCTAAAAGTTACAGTTCTATTAATATACCCACCATTCAAAAACTTAGCCCACCCAAAATTAATGTGGATCCAAGGAATACAACTCTAACAGTTGTAAAGGTTAACTGGGAAGGAAGAAGCTGAAAGAGACTACTATAAGCGAGAAGAAACTGTCAGCATAGAACTTTACATTTAGCCATTTCAGCTCTAAGATGAGGAGACCAGAATTTTCTTTTTTTTAGGTTCAAGATACTATTATTATTATTTTTAAGTATTGGTGTTTGATTCATATGACCAGTCAAATATTCAAACAATCTAAAAATACTGACCTTGAATGTCTGGAGAACACAATAATCATAGTGTATTATAATTGATCAGTTCATTGATCTATCTTGTGCTGAGATCAAAGGTTTACATGAGGACAATTTTAAATTTTATAGACATAATGAAATACTTTTATGAAATATACAAAGTAAATAATAATACAATATGAAAATGGACATAATTGTGATTTGTTCAAGTGTTATAATATCAATAACATAGGAGTATGTAAATGTTCCTAGAACCCAATTTTTTGAAAACTTCAAACTAAATATACATGAGAAAACTATTTTTTAATAGAGAGGAAATGCTGGTTTGGATAAAGGTTAATGTAAGTTTATTATCTAAAGTTTCTTTGAACCTTTTTTTTTTTCATTTCAAATGATTTTTCTGGAAATAAATTGTCCAATGTCTTCTGAATATTTTCAGCTTTAATAAACCATCATATATCTATGAATTAATCTATGAAATCTTTTTTGATAATGGTTTCTTTTGTGTGGTGTGTCCCTTCAGGCCGTTGGTGATCATGGCTCTCCATAATTTCCTGTTCCTTGTAGCTCCTAATAAGTTTTGTCATGCTATCTCACCCCCAAAATTGCTACACCATCCATTCACTCAAGCTCACCTGGTAGGTTATGCACTGTTTTCCTCTTGCCTTCAATATGTCCTGTGATTGATTCCTTTTCTATAGCTTATCAACACTTTGGAGCTTATTTAAAGTCATGAAATATTTCTAGATAGATTTTTTTTTTAATAATAATGGCTTAATGACACTATTCTCACTAATTAACCCAAAGCTAGGGGGAGAAGAGGTGGATTCATACTTTTCCCAAGAATATTTGCACCTAAGTGAATACAGGGTAACCCGGATATAAGACAGTTGTTGGGACAGGAGAAGAAGTCTCTTATACCCGGGTTTCTCTTATATCCGGGTTTGGTCTATTTTGTTTAGATAAGTATGGGCTCTAATTTGGGACCAGAGAAAATCTCACTTATATCCGGGTTATACTGTATAACCAACCCAAATGGAATTAGACCTTGAATCTTCAATTAAAAATTCTAAGCCATTACAGTACTGGGTATTCCCAAGTGGGCCCCCATCTAGGTACTGACCAGGCTCAATATTGCTTAACTTCAGTGATTGTATGAGGACTGGTGTTTCAACATGATATGGCCATTAGCCAATATGTCCTATGAGTATCAAATTCTCCAAGACCTCTTTCCTCTTTATGTGCCCTAGAAATTCCAACTATCTCTTCCTGATATTAAGTATAAACATCTTTTTTGTTTCAATTTTCTCTAGAACTTCATCATTGCTAAGACGTTCAGTAATCTCAGCATTCTTCTGTAGAACCACAGTCTTTTCTTCAGCTGAGGAGAATGTCCAGCATTCACTGCCATATAAGAGGATTGGTATTACATAATAGTCCAGTATTCTTATGAAAGACAAAAAACACTCAGAAGATATGAGAAAATTTAGGTTCTAAAAAATGGTTTGAAATGAATAGAAAAGAAACATTTTTTTTTTTTATGGTAAGGTTCACCTTGTACAAGGCCTGAAGGACTCTCAATGTAGAGGGTTACATCAACTTACATTGGCTTTCAACCAAACCAAAAGTTTCTCTTTAGTAAAAAATAGTTTTATAATATCTATTTAGTCTGATGTCTGGTCTTTTGGACAGGTGTAGAGGTTTATTCCTTGTTGCTTGTTTACGATTGGGTTTCTGGGTTTGTTTTTTTTTTTAAAGTCTACTCCAACTCTATATTCTTAACATCTCTGCCTTAAATTCTGAAATTTTATTTGCAATTTATTTACTTTTTTCTTTCCTCAATAAGTGTAAATTTGTTCACCTATCATCCGCTTCATACTCCTCCATGGTCTTTTGAACAAGAGTAGAGAATTATCACTCATTTCCTCTTTAAGTTCGAATTTCCAATTCCTTCTTAAGTATTTTCCATCTCTTTCACTTCTGGTGGCCCCTTGTGTCTTGGTGGCATTATGTCTTTGCTTGGAGTGGTGCCTCTTACACTGTAACCCTCAACTTCAAGTAGCTCTTGGGTTTTGTACTGGGTACATTGTAGAAAAAAAGCAATTTTTTTAAATTGATAGCTTGAAACTTTTTCTTAAACAAAGACCTTCCATAGATCTACAACCAATCCTGTGTAAATGAGAAGTTGCAACCCAAATACTTTCAGGATTAAATATAGTATATAAAAAGTTTAGCAAAAATACCTTCTATATAATGGTAAGACATTAGCTAGATGAAGACAACACTGCCACTAATGCCTTACCATTCTGTGAAAGGTATTTCTGGGTGGTATATGTAGGAAGTATTTCTACTACAACCTATATTAATAAGAGATAATAATATGACTAAACCAATGAGAGAAATTATTATTACTGAGCAGACACTGAATTTTTACCTATCATGATAAATGTGTGTTCTCTCAGGGAAACCCCATGCCTTGAGTGCCTATTGGCACTTATGCTCAACCCAGACCTCAAGTGGAACTTGTACATACAATACAACATTAAAGATATTGGCATATATGGGCAGGTGCTGCACAGTCTTAACTTTCTAGGATCCATAGTGTCCAAATGCAGCCTTGTGGGTGATGAATTATTTTTCACCTTACAACCCCTTTCCAATAGATGAAATGTTACAAGATTTTCACTCTTCTATCACTATTTCCATAGAAAGTGTTCAGACTTAACAACATTCTTTAGTCTCATCAATTCTAACCTTCACAGCTAAGACCTGCCAAGCCACACCCATTGTAGCAAACCACCCTCATTCCTTTCATATTCCACCGATGTAAGTTCCACTCATAAAGCTATTTTGTGCAACCAACTCCCAAGAGGTTGTTACCCTGATTACTACAATCTTAACCCGTCCAAGTCTTGGGTTAATCATTATCTTCCCCACGCATCCATATAAACTATGCTTCTTACTCTGTAACCCTGTACGTGAAGTGGTTCTTAGGCCTTTTACAGAGTGGACATTATTGTATAAAAAAAAATAAAAAAAAATAAAACAATAGTATTGACCCTGACTGTTTGGAGAACACAACAAAAGTATTTATTGCAAACAATATGCTTGTTGGTCTATCTTGTGTTGAGATGAACCATATAAACTTTTAACTTCAGCTGTACAAGGTGACTCAAGAAAAAAAAAATTGACATATTTCATCAAATGTTGAATAATAGTTTTATGACAAGTTCTTAGATTTATGGTATTTAAACATTATTCATTTTTAGAGGATCTGATCTGCATTCTTATTGAACAAGTCAGATTTAATCTTCTTATTGCTGATAAATATGTATGAAAAAGTAATATTTATGCAACATTTTCAAGGCCATATTATCCAAAGTTAGTGTCTCTTCCATGGGTAGTTGTTACTAAACTTCACAGTGATTTGATTGGTTTCTGAAAATATTTATATCATACCGTTAGTATTGTATTTTTTTAATCATTTTAACTGCAAAATGACAATAAAGCCACTAAGAAACAAGGGGTTACTGAGTGAGAGAGAATACAAGAAAAATAAAAAAAAAAACATTAACAAGCAGGAACAATAGAAGAACAGGAATTAAGAAGACAGCAGATAACAAATGACACTGGAATTAAATTTTTAAAGATCAAAGTAGACTGGGAAGCAAGAAGCCAGAAGAGAGTTGCACAAGTGAGATGTGTGAAAGAAAAAACTGTTAGCATAGAACTTACTGTTACATCTAGCCATTTCAACTGTAAAATGAAATCTTACCGCCAACCAGTACTGTGCTTAAATTCATAAATTTTGGCAATAACAAAGAACTGGAAGTAAATGAGTAAACTTTTTGAATGTAATTGTATATTTCATTTTGATTTTATAGATAGTAACTCCAAGATTGATTTGGGAAAAGATGTTAGAATACAGAGCTTGTACTCAAAGCAAACTGCCTGTATACAGATAAAAAATAAATAGCAGAAGTTAACAAAACAAAAAGGGCCAAAAGACAAGGATACGTGTTCTTACCAGATTTATTCAACCATTATAATGAGGCAGTCTTAAGAGAACTAGATGTCCGACAAAGATTTATTATTGGTGGTCACAATCTAAACAATGTAAGATATACAGATGACAAAATGTTGATGGCAGACACAGAAAGGAAACTGCAGCAATTCTATAGAAGGTTGTAAAGGACTTTGAGAAGAAAGGGTTAACTAATGTGTAGTTGTCAAGAAGAGGAATAGCCCAGAATGTGAACTACAATATGGATATGTCCTAAATCAAGCAAAGACAAAAATTTAAATATCTGAGAAGTGTATTAAACAGAGGATGGAAAATATGACACTGAAATCCAAAGGTACATTAGCAATTTCATTACAAACAAAGAAAAGAGTGGAGAAATGCTGTATAATATCAATCCTCATATATATGGCAGTGAATGCTAAATAAAATAACAGAGATGTAGCCCTACAGAAGGACACAGAGAATACCATTGATGGAACATGTTAAGAATTGTTAAGGGAAATGGAAACAAAAAGTTTGTAGGATACATCAGGAGGACAGAAGGCTTGGAAAATTTATAACTCACAGAATATACTGAAAACAAGAGAGTCAAAGGGAAACAGAAGTAACTCTATATTTCTGAGATGAGGTATTATGTACACTATTTACATTATTCGGACTATTGTCCTCATCTTTGTCACCATATTTATTACAATGTTTCAGCTGTTGTATGCTCCAGCCTTCTTCAGGTAGTTTGAACATTGAACTGAACCCTTTATTTTGCTCACTGGGGTAGACTGTTCTAGTTCCACATGCCATGGATGTCAGTTATCAGTTATCTCTTGTTAATTCCCCTGTCCAAGTTCTCCACTGCCTTAAACAAGTATTGAACTCACACTCTTTGGGTCCTGTCACTGGATCTAACTAATGCCTTTATCCACTATGCCATGTGTCCTCAAGGATACATGGCACAGGGTTCAGTTCAACATTCCAACCACCTGAAGAAGTCAGGAGTGTACAACAGCCGAAACGTAATAAATATGGTAACAAAGATGAGGACAAGAGTCCGAATAATGTAAATAGTAAACAAAAATAACTTACTTAAGAAGCTTGTGTAAATAGATGGCAGAAGAAGATGAGAGAGGATAAGAAATATTTAAACACTGCACTTGGCATGAGGAAAAGGAGAGAAAAAACAATGCCAAGTTATGGCACAGAATATATGACAATGCATAAAAAAAATTAGGAACAAATGCAGGTTGCTAAAGAAGAATGCCTCAACAAAAATATGCAGCAATAGAAAGAATGAGTATCACTGATAAAGAAGATATGTATAAAAAATAACAAGTACCCATTTTTGCCCAAAACTTTCTTAATAAAATTCAATGCTTGAATTTAACTTTGTCTTTGAGCAAATTACTAGGGTACAACAGACTGAAGTCTTCATAAGGTTTATCTTTCCCTGAGTTGGATGGAAAAATCCCAATGGGTATATAAACTAGTGAAGATTGGATTTTGGAGCACAGATGGAAGAAACAAATCCAATCTATGCAGTGATATCAAAAAAAAAAAAAAAAAAAAAAAAAAAAAAAAAAAAAAAAGAAAACCATTGTTTCCCTTTCTACATATAAATTGTAATGTTGGTGCAATTCATTTAGTGCTTGATAAAATACACCAAAACCAACCTTGACCTCACTATGAAAGTGTCATCAACGTACCAAAAATAACAACTGGCTCTTGTAACAGTAAATCTTGTTCATAAAAGCCATTATTGCACCTAATAGTAATATTAGCAGTTCCCCTATAAAGAAATATTTGACACTCATTGACCAAGCATCTGAAACTGCTTTCAGTTGAATTTTATAAAATCTTTCTCTTAAAACAATTTTTCAGGAAAATAGGTTTTTCCAGTTCAGTATCTGTTATTGCTCTTTCTACTAACCTTTTATTTGAAGTTGTATAGAATGGACTACCCATTGTCTTTCTTGTCTATATATAATCTTGTCAAAGTTGAATTCTACAGTGACAAATTTCATCAACTCAGTGAAAATAATTTCAGAAATATGAGGTTGGTAACAAATGCCTACAATACAAAGCATCAGTACAAATTTCAATGGTCTCCTGAAGAGGAACGCAACTAGACAGGCTGCAGATGTCAAACGAAACAAATTTACCATCAGAACTG